ATATATATATATATATATATATATATATATATATATATATATATATACACACACATTCTGTGGCCTGTTGCCCCTCCTCACTCTTAGTTTCATTGCCCTACCAGTACTCTTTTCTTCCAGGATGAATGTGAACTATGACATTGAATCAATATTTCATGTTTTAATGAGTTGCCAACTGTATCAGAAATGGCACACTGAACAAATATTAACCTTCCTTGTAATCTCCACAATTGTACTCTGACAGAAAAAATATTTTTTGTTAATAAGCCACATAATCTAAATATAAGTCGCAAAATGGTGCTCAGTTTTAGTTGCTCTAAAGAAGCTGGAATATAATTAAGGTATGTTAAAGGATCAAAAATTAATTATCTATGTTATACCAACTTTTTAACAATTTAATTCATGTGCTGCTCTTTGATGTTCTCTACAGCATTTTAGTCAATGATTGTAACTTGAAAATTCCTTTGTAATTATAAGCAATGTGATTGGTTACACACTTGTCTGTGACTAGCACAATAAATATAGTAATATTTATTATGAATGCATTTAAAACTGGATAACAAATTTTCCAAATAAAGAAATCAAGCTTATTTAGTTGAATTTCTTTCAGTTATCTTATTCTTCTAACTAAACACAGGTTTTATCCTTTTTTTCTACTCAAGTGATTAAAAAAGAGTTTCACATGAAAATGTGCATTCATTTTATGCTTGTATGTTCATAAAAAAATTGGCATGTCTTTTTTTAGTATTAAAATTTGTGTAATACTTCCCCTTATTACTCTTTTCAGTGTTTTTTAAATTATTATCTTGTAATACACCTGCAGATTGATAACAATCTTATAATCTGTTATTATTTTCTAACTTAATACTTTGTACGTTCTCTTCTAATTGGTATTATTTTTGAATTGCAAATAGCCCTGCAACATACGAAAAATACATAATTTGACAATCAATTATGTTTGATCCAACTGACCATGGAGAAATCTAGTGCTTTGTAAGAGAGAATGGTTGGGTTTTGTACAAAATTAAACATTGCTGAGAAATTCTACCACCTGAAAATGAAATCAGCAAATGAATAAAAATAACATAGAAGGGTTTTTTCCTATTAGAACACTTAAGCAAATATTCTCCAATCATTCAGTTATTTATTATTTTATATAGTGTATAGTCTTTGATACATGAGAGCCAGGAGCCTACAATGTTATTACAGAGTAGTAGTTTGGTTGCCTAAGATTACTAGTTCATTTAGTTCACACTTGCATATTACCAGGATGCACACAGAATAGCTAACAGCGTTCTGCAAGAGTGTCAGCATCCTTGAGGGCTTCTCCACCATTTGTTTTTACCTTGCGTTCAGCCTGATCTGGCACTAGTTGGTCTCTTCTTCCACCATTAGTCCCACCAGAATGATAATCATTTATCTACTTGCAACTGCTGGATTGGCAGAAGCTAAGGTGACTGATGAGAGCTCACTCCATCATTAGGACTGCTGGAGTGCAGACAGCCAAACTTCTCAGCTGACAAATCCAGTGTATTTGTATGAGTCATCATCCTCATAATCATTAAGAAATGCTTTAATAATATTCTGCTAGATTCTGCTATATTAACAAATATTGATATCTCTATTTCATATTCAAATCCCAGTCTGATGGGTCTTTATAAGGATTGGGAAAAAACATACAATAAATAGAAGTGTGGTTATTCTTCCTGAACATCAAAGTATTACAGTGATATATACGTTTACTTTGTAATATAATCACTGTTGTTAAAAATTTGAATGCCTATTTAGAAATTTGTTTCAAAAGAATGTGTATGTACACAAAATGCAGATATGGTTATATTTGAGGACTACAGTATAATTGGCAATTATTCTTTAGTTTATCTGTTAATATTTATGCAAATTCAAATATATTTAAAAGATAACTCATTTGATATGTTTCATTTTAATGGACAAATTAACAGTATTTAAGAATTGCCAACTTCTAAAAAAGCAATGATAAAAACTATGAAACATATAAATATTTGCTCAATCTGGTCTCCCATAACACTATTTTTTCTTTCCCCATTAAAAGCTCTGCAAAAAGAAATCTGTCTTCAGGGCTCACCGAAAAATGTTCAAGATGAACCACTTGACTATCAATAGTGTTCTATAATGTTGGGTCACATAAACTTATAGATTGCTTTGTTTCAAAGAGTTTTACTTAACTATTATTGTGCAATGAAGTTTTACAGTAATCAAACAGCTTCAGTTATTTCATTAATAGTATATAACTGTCTATGATTCTGAAGTTCTTGGGAAATTTAACTTAACTAGCATTAACAATGTAAATAAGCCTAGAAGCACTATTGTGCCAAAATGTATATCAGTCAACTGTTTCTAAATGTGAAAAAGAAAATTAGCACATCAAGAAATGGGAGGGATCTCTTAGTGTCAACTTTTCTATACACCTTCTAGCTGTAGCAGTTGCACTTCCTTTTTGTTTTTGTTTTTGAAAAGGTGTGATAGATGATGGAAGGTACTACACATGGCATCTACTATGTTGGCTGTTTACAAGGGAAGGCAGCATCATGGCTAGTTTTGATTGAATTCATCACCTTAAATGCCTAAAATTAGTCATTCTCTAAGGTGTAACTAGATGAACTGTTTTTTCAAATAAATGCAAAAAAGAAATAAAGAAGAAAAAGCATTTCTAATATGAATGTTAAGGGTCTTCTCCCCCCTCCCGTACCCTCTTTTACAAAGGTACTTAACATTCTATTAACATAATTTCTAATTATACTGAGAAAATCATACAAAAATGAATCAGGTAACATTAATGCTAGTAGCAATGTATATATTCAAGTTTTTCTTCCTCTTTTTATATATTGTATTATTATAAAAATAATATAATAAAATAATGTTATTTATGTACAGTGGTATTTCTGCAGTGTTGACTAGTGATTATATGTTAAATGTTTAAAGATACAGGAAAAATGTAACATTAACTATGATTTCTAAAATTTTGATTAGTATGATTACTTGCATTTTATAGTTTTACATTTTACATTTTATAGTTGAGGATAGAATTGACAAATTACTGCAAAATACTTATTTTTCATACATAAGATTTCTATAGTAGGTTTAACATTTAATACTAGGGCTCTAGAGAAGAGCAAAAGAGAGAAAGCTTTTAACATATTTGGTTTCTAACTTTCCAGTTTTTAATGCATTTGTGGTATTTATCAGTATACTGATGATACTCAACTTTATAACTCCATCCCAGTGATGCTATTATTGCTGTCACACAGTGCCTAGAGGCTGTGGGAGCCTGAATGAGGGACAACAGGCTTTGGCTGAATTCGGTAAAGACTGAGTCACTTTGGGCGCATGGACTTTAATGGCCTTTGTTCTGGATGTGGTGGCTCCACCCCAGACAGACCTGGTTTGCAATTCCAGGAAAATCCAAGTTTTCCTTGACTTGTAACTTATGCTCAAAAAGCAGGTCCTAGTCTCAGTTAAGAGAGCCTTTATATAAGTTCAGGTTGTGTACCAATTGCAGCTTTTGCAGTCACTCATTCAAGCCCTAGTTATCTCACATTTGGATTAGTGAAATGCCCTCTACATGGAGCTACCCTTGAACAGCATTTGGAAGCTTTAACTAGTGCAGAATGCAATGTCTCTGGCAGTTCTTAGAATCACTAGGGTGACCTATGTTACACCATTGTTCTGTGAGCTGCACTGGTTGCCAGTCTGATTCTGGGTACAATTTAACATGTTGATTATTATCTTTAAAATCTTGCATGACATGGATCCAGATTACTTGAAAAAATGTCTCACCCCACTGAGACTGGCCGACCCTATCTGCACCAGCAGAGAAGGCATGCTGTGGGCTCCATGAATCAAAGATTCTAGATGGATCCAGAAGGCCCTTGAAGCAGGGAGATTGGTTCCCATCAGAAGTTCCTGAAGACCAGGGTCTGCCATATGGCTTGATGTACCAAAGGGTACATCACATTCCTTCACACTGGAGGTGGTTAATGAACTAAAAGACAATCCCATGCCTCCCGCCAAACACCCTATTCCATCCCTCTCCATCTCTTAACTATAATTTTATTTCAGTTTTGATTTACACTTTATTTGTTTTAGAATTATTTATCTATTAGGATGTAAATGTTTTAATGCTGTAAGCTGCCCAGAGTCATGTTGATACCAAGATGGGTGCAAATAAATAAATAAGCAAATATTTAGACCCACTCAGAAACAATACTGTAATGCTTATATTTGCCTTTCTGATATCGTAAATATGGAAACAAATTGTTCCTCTTGTTAAAAATATCCACTTTTATCACTGATAATTATAGACAATGATTATAAAAAAGGACATTGTTACCATAGGAAGAAGCAAATATAAACATTTCAAGGATCTAGATCACTGAGGAATGATTTCAATTATCCCCTGACAATGGCCTTTCAGCTAATAAAAATATGAATTACCAGAATTTATACTTTCCAAATCAGTTTTTTTTTCATAGCTGGATGGATGCATGATGTCTGAATGAGAGACAGAGATGAAGAGAGAAAACTGAAGGTTACTTTAAATTTTTCATCCAGCTGTTTTAAACCAAAAATATCAGGTGTTCTTCCTCAACTAATGAATATCCATTATTAGCCATTATAGCCATATTACTAATGTAATAGCCAACCCTTTCTATTATTATTTTTCAGAAAATTTAGTGCTCAAATTTATTTTCAGATTACAAATATAATTTCAGTTGTATTGAATTTTGTGACTCCTCTCAAAAGTATTTCCTTAACTTTCTAAATTACATGCATTTTCCTCAAACCAAATATTATGGCTAGCCTAATTTAAACCACTTGAAAATAGTTTGGGAAGTTAGAGTTCTGCATATTCACTTACCTATAACTGAACTATAAATGTCTTTAACATAAAAAAACATGTGTTGACAAAACCATAAAATTATTTTAATAGGTGGTGAAAGAATACAAGATTTCAAAATCTTTTTAACAGTTGCAAGTATTCTTGCTTTCCTTTCAATGAAAAAACTATTCAGAAACAAAATCTTGAAAAATATGTTTAAGCTACAGTATTTCTAAATATGAATATGTTAACTTTTAATTATTAGAAATGAAGTGAAACGGTTCTAGAAAATGAGTTAGAACCAATAGATCAATCATTTAACAGTTTCTAGTTTAATCCCTAAATCCCTAATATATTAAAACTCTCATTCTCACAAATACTCTACATTAACACTGAATTTTTAATGTTGTTAATAAAATTATTTGATTACAAGAAGATATAATTGAGTCTATCATTATTTTTACTCTTAAACACTATATTGTGGAGTCAAATGAAGAATGCAATAGAGTTATTTTTCAGTATGACTTCTGATCAATACCAGACTTGGATCTTTGATTAATGTCAAGTAGTGGTTTATAAAATTTATATCAGTTTATACTACATTGGTTTGTATTAGGTAAATGCATTAGGCTCTTTAGCTGATCCACAACTCCATGCAGCCTCAGCCAATACTGTTATTATTTAAGAATGCCAAGAATTATAGTTTTGCAAATTCTAAATTATATATTCTTTGCCTCTGAGATATATATATATATATATATATATATATATATATATATATATA